CTCCAATATTGGAGAATATTCTCCAATATTGGAGAATATTCTCCAATATTGGAGAATATTCTCCAATATTGGAGAATATTCTCCAATATTTAAGAATATTCTCCAATATTGGAGAATATTCTCCAATATTGGAGAATATTCTCCAATATTGAAGAATATTTAGGAATGTTTATTAGTCATAACTAAACATTCCTAAATATTCTTCAATATTCATTATTATTCCTCTAAACTATATTATAAATAATATAGTTTATTCCTCTAAACTATATTATTTATAATATAGTTTAGAGGAATAATAATGAATATTGAAGAATATTTAGGAATGTTTAGTTATGACTAATAAACATTCCTAAATATTCTTCAATATTGGAGAATATTCTCCAATATTGGAGAATATTCTCCAATATTGGAGAATATTCTTCAATATTGGAGAATATTCTCCAATATTGGAGAATATTCTCCAATATTGGAGAATATTCTCCAATATTGGAGAATATTCTCCAATATTGAAGAATATTCTCCAATATTGAAGAATATTCTCCAATATTGAAGAATATTCTCCAATATTGAAGAATATTCTCCAATATTGAAGAATATTCTCCAATATTGAAGAATATTCTCCAATATTGAAGAATATTCTCCAATATTGAAGAATATTCTTCAATATTGGAGAATATTCTCCAATATTGAAGAATATTCTTCAATATTGGAGAATATTCTCCAATATTGGAGAATATTCTCCAATATTGGAGAATATTCTCCAATATTGAAGAATATTCTCCAATATTGAAGAATATTCTCCAATATTGAAGAATATTCTCCAATATTGAAGAATATTCTCCAATATTGAAGAATATTCTCCAATATTGAAGAATATTCTCCAATATTGAAGAATATTCTCCAATATTGAAGAATATTCTTCAATATTGGAGAATATTCTCCAATATTGAAGAATATTCTTCAATATTGGAGAATATTCTCCAATATTGGAGAATATTCTCCAATATTGGAGAATATTCTCCAATATTGGAGAATATTCTCCAATATTGGAGAATATTCTCCAATATTGGAGAATATTCTCCAATATTGGAGAATATTCTCCAATATTGGAGAATATTCTCCAATATTGGAGAATATTCTCCAATATTGAAGAATATTCTCCAATATTGAAGAATATTCTCCAATATTGGAGAATATTCTCCAATATTGGAGAATATTCTCCAATATTGGAGAATATTCTCCAATATTGGAGAATATTCTCCAATATTGGAGAATATTCTCCAATATTGGAGAATATTCTCCAATATTGAAGAATATTCTCCAATATTGGAGAATATTCTCCAATATTGAAGAATATTCTCCAATATTGAAGAATATTCTCCAATATTGGAGAATATTCTCCAATATTGGAGAATATTCTCCAATATTGGAGAATATTGGAGAATATTCTCCAATATTGGAGAATATTCTCCAATATTGGAGAATATTCTTCAATATTGGAGAATATTCTCCAATATTATTTTTCAATATTGGAGAATATTCTTCAATATTGGAGAATATTCTTCAATATTGAAGAATATTCTTCAATATTGGAGAATATTCTTCAATATTGGAGAATATTCTTTAATATTGGAGAATATTCTTCAATATTGAAGAATATTCTCCAATATTGAAGAATATTCTCCAATATTGAAGAATATTCTCCAATATTGAAGAATATTCTCCAATATTGGAGAATATTCTTCAATATTGAAGAATATTCTCCAATATTGAATAATAATATTGGAGAATATTCTCCAATATTGAAGAATATTCTTCAATATTGAAGAATATTCTTCAATATTGGAGAATATTCTTCAATATTGGAGAATATTCTCCAATATTGAAGAATATTCTTTAATATTGGAGAATATTCTTCAATATTGAAGAATATTCTTCAATATTGGAGAATATTCTTCAATATTGGAGAATATTCTTCAATATTGGAGAATATTCTCCAATATTGGAGAATATTCTTCAATATTGAAGAATATTCTCCAATATTGGAGAATATTCTCCAATATTGAAGAATATTCTCCAATATTGGAGAATATTATTGAAGAATATTCTCCAATATTGGAGAATATTCTCCAATATTGAAGAATATTCTCCAATATTGGAGAATATTCTTCAATATTGGAGAATATTCTTCAATATTGGAGAATATTCTTCAATATTGGAGAATATTCTCCAATATTGGAGAATATTCAATATTCTCCAATATTGGAGAATATTCTTCAATATTGGAGAATATTCTCCAATATTGGAGAATATTCTCCAATATTGGAGAATATTCAATATTCTTCAATATTGGAGAATATTCTCCAATATTGGAGAATATTCTTCAATATTGGAGAATATTCTCCAATATTGGAGAATATTCTTCAATATTGGAGAATATTCTCCAATATTGGAGAATATTCTTCAATATTGGAGAATATTCTTCAATATTGGAGAATATTCTCCAATATTGGAGAATATTCTCCAATATTGAAGAATATTCTCCAATATTGAAGAATATTCTTCAATATTGGAGAATATTCTTTAATATTGAAGAATATTCTTCAATATTGGAGAATATTCTCCAATATTGAAGAATATTCTCCAATATTGAAGAATATTCTCCAATATTGAAGAATATTCTTCAATATTGGAGAATATTCTCCAATATTGGAGAATATTCTCCAATATTGAAGAATATTCTTCAATATTGGAGAATATTCTCCAATATTGGAGAATATTCTCCAATATTTAAGAATATTCTCCAATATTGAAGAATATTCTCCAATATTGAAGAATATTCTTCAATATTGGAGAATATTCTTCAATATTGGAGAATATTCTTCAATATTGGAGAATATTCTCCAATATTATTCTTCAATATTGGAGAATATTCTTCAATATTTAAGAATATTCTCCAATATTGGAGAATATTCTTCAATATTGGAGAATATTCTTCAATATTGGAGAATATTCTCCAATATTGGAGAATATTCTCCAATATTGGAGAATATTCTTAAATATTGGAGAATATTCTCCAATATTGGAGAATATTCTCCAATATTGGAGAATATTCTCCAATATTGGAGAATATTCTCCAATATTGGAGAATATTCTCCAATATTGGAGAATATTCTCCAATATTGAAGAATATTCTCCAATATTGAAGAATATTCTCCAATATTGGAGAATATTCTTCAATATTGAAGAATATTCTCCAATATTGAAGAATATTCTCCAATATTGGAGAATATTCTCCAATATTGGAGAATATTCTCCAATATTGAAGAATATTCTCCAATATTGAAGAATATTCTCCAATATTGAAGAATATTCTTCAATATTGGAGAATATTCTCCAATATTGAAGAATATTCTCCAATATTGGAGAATATTCTCCAATATTGAAGAATATTCTTCAATATTTAAGAGTATAACTCAATATTCCTAAATATTCTTCAATATTCATTATTATTCCTCTAAACTATATTATTTATATTATTCAAAAATAAATAAATAGTGATTTCAATATTCATTTTAACAGTATTCACGATTTATTATTAATGATTTTCACAACTATTCTTTAATATCCATGCTTTTGTAAATATAATATTTCTATTTGCTAAATGGAATATTCTTTTTCGGAATACAGATTCTCCGAAAGGTCTTCAGTGATTGCTTTCAAATTCTCACACAACGTTCATTTTCAATCCAAGCAGGTTTATATATAATCTACACACGTACATGTCAACAAAACATAAGAGGTTCTTAAATTACACAAAAAACAACCTTTATTTCAAGTATGTTGTATTTATTAATGTCTCAATAATCTCTATCCCTTAGAGTAGTGTAGGGTATTTCTACTCCCCTCTACTTGCAGATCCTCAAGGGGGCGCACAAATTCAGTGACTACAAATACACAATACAAGAATCCTGTTTAATATAGTAAGCACAGCATATAAATGTTGGATCTACAAGAATGCTGCCCCAAGAGTCTGAGTTATACTGTCCATCATAATAATATCACACATCAAAACAATTTTAAGTGGTACACTACTTCTTGATAACTATAGAAACTTTAATAACTTGACACTCAAAAGAACATTATGTATTAAACCTCCAGTATGTTATTTGAGACAAGTTAACAAAATAATATTAACAAAAAATCACGAGTACCTTAGGGTATTTCTACCCATTCACGCCCCACATTTTCACCCACTACAAATACAACACTCCCATTTAACATTTCACGTTAATATACTCTTAGATACTACTCTATTAGTGTACATCAACCACACTACATTTTAACGCTCAAACATAATATTCTCACTCTACTTTCTTCCATGATTCATAATAAAACTATGCACTGTCCGTCACATTCCGTGAGATACGAGATTTTCTCACACAAACTCTCCAAACACAGTGACTATTGTGCAAGTGAACAAAAAGCAAAAATGTTACATACATCAAAATAGATATTCATATCTATTTTCTATTGTATCTCTCTATACCGTTTTACTTTAACATTTGTCACTACAGAACGTTGAACGCTAACAATACTAGAAAGTTATTTTTCTGAGGTTGGAACAAAACGGCATCAGATTGGGGACTTGTTTATTTTATATTGGTAAATAATATTATTTATTTATTAACTTATTATTTTTAAATAGTATAATGAGCTATTATTTTTAATGAAGCAAATAGCTATTTAGCATGATTGATAAATAATTATTGACTAGTGCTTAACAATAAACTATTAAGCAATAATTATAATGAATATTAATTATACTCTATAAATCCATTACAATTATTAACTAAATCTAACTACTAGATGAAAATTGCATTATTTTCAATACACTCATTACAATTCATGCGAATATTTCTTAGCTATCTGGAGCCTTATCACTTTGGCCCTTCCGCCAGAGCCCCCAATGCCGCGAGGGCCAGTGGCGCCGAACCCCCAAGGGCGAACGCGGCGGCTGCCCGCTGTAAATACGAGTGTGTGTCGACCTCATGGGCCCAGTAGTCTTGCCCTCGGGCTCCATCCATTTTCCTTCTTCATCAATGGTGTACCTCGTGCTCCTTCCGTACTCGGTTCTGGAAGTATTAAGGCAGTAAGGGTGGGCAGAAACGGCCATGCACTATCAACGTGACGGCCAAGGAACCTACCCCTTAAGGGTACTGCTGGAATTACTTTCTAAGAGGAGGGGCACATTTCCGGAACCGAACTCGGCAAGTGTCATTAATGGATAAAGCCAGGGTGATACCCTGTCGGAAAACTCTGAAAAGGAACACTGGCACAGGGGGAAAGGAGTGACTAGAGGGGAAAGGAAGAGAAAAACATCTTCCAGGAAACTAGTCGGTAGCCAAGTAAGGTAACTACCAACCCGAGCAGAACTTTAGCGGGAAAAACCAAGACAACTAAACAAGGTTAGGGGGGGGGCAGTTAACCTATCTGAGTCAAGGGCAGAAGTTAATCCAGGGGGAGGGATCTAGCAAGCAATCAGTAATTTCAAACTATTCCAATAGAATATTATAAAACAACCAAACAATTAATATTTATCACCAATATGTATATAATAATTCAATATATATTTAAAACCATAATTCAAATATAAGAAACACGTCTTAAGGCGCAACTGCAACATGCTTGCGTCCACACTGACAAATTATAAGGATGCTAACAGTGTCCCTTACAGTCATCTCCATTGTATGTTGCCCTCAAAAAGCATGTTACAGCTGAATAGTTACCCTAACAAACTCCCTTAAGAGCCGTAAATGAGTTTAGTCTCAGTGTCAATGAGCATCTGCGAGCAGCAGTACCAAGAACTTAAAGATCTGGCCATCTGAGGCAAAGTGAAATGGACAACAGTAAGGCTACGGATCCGTATTTGTAAAACGTCTGGATAAACAAGCGGCCTGGAAGGCCGCATATTTATATGACCAATATAAATTTAATACATGAATAACATCGCCGCCTTAACTCATCACAGGAAGAACGTTGCCTGGAGAGCAGCCCCTGAACGCAGTCTGCTAAGACGCCAGTGGCTATGACAACCTTCCTGGCTACATTGGTCAGACAAAAAAGGCCGGATAAACCTCCGCCCTGGGAAGCAGCAGTATCTTCCGGCCTACACCGAGCAGACAACACGTCGGATAACCAGCGGCCTCGGACGCTACACATGTCTGGATAAACCACCACCCGGGACGCTGCAGATTCTTTCCCCCTACACCGGCCACACAAAACGACGGGAAACGTTTACTGGTACTGGTAAACGAAACTGGTACTGCCTACCTGTCACTACTTAATGACAAAGTCAACAAAACAACTATGTATGTATAAACGGTAACTAAATGACATGCACTGAAGCAATGCATAACTAGCAATAAATTGCTGAAGGAACTAATCATAATATGAGTCCAAGATAAACTTAAAGGGAGAGCCATGAGGCCCGAAGACAGCGTCTAGGACATCCTACCTGACTAACTTAAGCTTAAACTTAAACGTGAAGTAAACAAACAAATGTAAAACCAGCAAAGAAACATGCAGCTTGACACTGCATAAAATTAATAAATTAACGAAATTTATGGAAAATAAACGTCAATGAAAACTTAAAGCTAGGGACCGCAGGCCTGTGACACAGCAGCTACCGTAACCTACCTGACTTTACCTATTAACTTAAAAGCGATAAGCATAATAATAAACATAACTGTAAACCAGTAATAAATAAACACACATGCAGCAACACGCTGCATAATTGGCGGGAATAGTTACCTGATGTAACTAAACGCAAATGCAGGCCCAGTAATCTTAAACCAACAGGCAATGGGGGGGCCCGTACTCCGCGCCTATCACAGCCTACCTCCGTTACTTTATAACTTAATGCCAAACAATACTTAAACAATCACAATTGCAAAACCAGTAACAGTAAATCGCGTGACCCCCATAAATTGCAGTCATTTTGCTAAATTAATGGTACACAATAATGGGTACCATTTCGTAAAGTCAAAGGCATGAGGCTTGTAACCAAGGAACTAGCACAACCTACGTTACTTATTTATTAACACAAAACAGTTTTAAGAAGTTAATAAAACATGCACGGGGGCAATGTATAAATTTTAATAATTTGCAGAGAAACAATTCTTAGTTGCAAGCCCAACGAAGGTAACAGCAAGAAACTTGGACCCGTGATGCGGGTCAAAGATCAATTGAGGCATAACACATTGTAACAAAGACAATAATATACAATTTTATATAGCCAGCGTTTACAGTATGGTAAGTCATTTACAGTCAATGATCTAACACTAGTTTCACGTCTGCTTTACATTTATATCTATTACCAATTTTTCTTCATTTCGGTAACGTTTCCCATATATTACAAGCTTATTACTTTGCTAGATTGGCAAATACAATCACATTTATATATACAAACACGTACATTGCGGTTGTTAGAATACATAGCATGGTATTTACACTTGTAACGCCATTACTATGCGCACCCTTTCGGCCAGGTCCTTAATCTAAGATAATTTTAAGTAGCTAAATTCTAGCGGAATTAATACAATGATTGATACATTGCAACAAACACCAAACAACCACAGATTAGTAGGTACAGGTATATTAAACCACATTGCTATATTAAAGCTCAAATTGCATTGACAGCTTGATTGGTAATTTATACTAACATTAATAGGCACCATACAGCAAATGGAAAGCCCATAACACAGCAATGATCACAAGGGTAACGTTTTTGCCATTGGGTACATGATTACAATATTGGGTACCACTAGATACAATGCAATTTTAAACCAACACTGTAGAAAACTATGAAGATGCAATTACGTACCTTTTACTTTCAATATTAGCTACTTATCGTAAACATATTCTTCCTAATTAGGTACCTATTGCTGTAATCTCCTAAGACAAATATTAGGAATTTAGGTAATTCTAGTTTAAATATTTACTTATTAATCCATACAACTATCTATTCCTTTATGATTCAACAATTCCCCAACATTATTTCTATACATGAACTATATATTTATTTCCCCTTGACCAAACCCCATATTTACTCCCCTCTAAGGACACGCCTTCTAGGCGACTCCTATTTCTCGATTATATATATATACTGCACATTAATAATTCCAAACCCACTGGATATCTAATAACCCTCACATTACATCCTCGACGATTCTCCACTATACACATTTACAACAATAATTCTTTCGTACCTTGTATGGAAGAGAAAAACTTGATCCTTCACCACCTCGAGGTTGTGTCCCTAGAGTAACTACACACGATGGTATCCACGTCTACGGTACTCAAGCGTCTCACCTGCGAAACTATATTGTATTCAGGATTCCGAACATTCATATACGATAAACATTCATTATCACGATTAATATCTCAAATACACGGCCATGCACTGTTCAAAAGCAACACAGCTTGGCAAGGAGGGGGGGGGGGGGGGGGGTTGCCTCATGGGCCACTTTTGAAATGAGACATGAAACAAAGCCCCACTCCACCTTACAGACACACTGGGGGGGGGGGGGGGGGGGGGTGTATCAACTAAGCTTAATCTCTTATCTGGGAGCTGCGAGTGTGTGAGCTGTTCATGTGTATTATTTCACCATCTATAGATGAATACCGCCTAGCATTCATATATATACACACACAAAACCTTACACGTTATCTTCACTTCCAGCCATTTTCTTTTATTATAATAAAAGCTGTTCCGTCTAGTAAGGCTGCGTCTCATGACGTCTAATGCTCAAACTACACCACATGATTAATTCACGAATGATATTAGATTTAGTACTACTTGGGATTTCGGTGTTATGCACTAAGTTACTAAATTCTTGGAGGAATGTGTTGAAATGAACATATCACACTCACCTGTAGGTAACAGCCTCTTCCATTACTCTGCAGTGTGGCGTTCGTTCTCCTCCATGATGCTTTCTTCACAAATACATACTTCACCATTGCTGTTTCGCCCAGCCCCCGCACCTCTCCACACGCTCATCTGCATGAAATATAATGCGTAATATGCATCCATTTAACCTTAATAACAAATGTTAAGAGCTACAACAATCTATTTATGAATACTCTAGTCCAAACTCCTTACACAATTTTTTCTTCCCTACCATTTCATTTGCTCTACTATAATTGTATAATTCAACCTTTAACAATTTGTATATTACTTTCTGATATGTCTATCAACGTCTAACTCACTTTAAATGAGGGAAAACTATAATACATAGCAAAACATGTCTTGCACCTCTGACGAGCTATTTTTCTTTACAATACCATCAAAGCGCAGCCATGACAATACCCTTCCCCACACTCAAAACACCATGTCGGGTGTTTAGCTACAATCCGAACCTAAACACGAAATTTACAATTATTCGGGTTTCGTGATCGCGCATAATCATCCTCCCTCCCCAAAATCAGCGTCTGTTACAGTTCTGGCTAGACAACATTAACTGCCCAATAATTACCTACCAGTAGTAATTGGGGTAACTATACCACAGATTGCCTGATAATGTTCAAGGGAAATGAGACTATCTTCCTACTACACAATTCTCAATTAACACTACAAAATCAACTCCACACCATACTTCCTGCTACACAATGATAACCAACAGCTCGTGCACCAATAACTGAAGCTCAACCTTCAGTTACAAAAGTGACTTACTGACATGTTTTCTTTCACTTTTGCCTACACTACCACTGGTGGAGCGCACGCTATCCCGCTCACTACACAATTACACCAATATCAACAAAACCACCACCTACACAACCCCACGTCTACCGTCGCCAGCCACCTACAGTAAACAAGACAAATACTGTCACGAAGCTCACATCTGGAGTTGACATTAATCAACCATTGGTCGCAAGTCAACCGGAACCTTATCACCTACATATAGAAATCATATTGTTCAGCTTTAAAAATAATGAGATCTTTGTCCTACGAAGGAGGTCGCGCTTATTTCATGCTGTATATTTATTATAAACAATTTCACTTAATAATGGTAGTAACATTTGAATAGTAACATTAAACATTTACTTATCACCTATCTACGTCAAACGAGACATC